GCGAGAATGTGGGGGTGTGTAAACTTCAAATATCTGCTCGGTTTATCAAGATATCGCATATTTGCAAAAGTGCTTCGACGTTTTCGGAGCTCGAGGATCATTAGAGCCACCGAGAATGGCACAACTCCCAGCACATCATTTTCAGATCACCGCGGGCTTTCGCTACTCAGGTTAAACGTAATATATTAGTCACTTAGACAACCGAAAAATGTTATTGTTTGTCTTTTTCAATGTTTTATTTGTTCGCGAGTAAATCGGTTCGGCTGAGATTAAAGTTATTAGATTAGATAAAATAAAGCTTTATTAATCCCCTGGGTGGGTTCCTCCGTGATTTTCTCACAGCTGAATAAACGTCAAACAGAAAACTGATTAAACAGAAGTGTGAAATGGTCGAGAATTTACGCCAGTGTCCTGTTATATTTTAGATGACAAGGAGCAGACGGCTGAGTTTATTAAACTCCACCGACAGCAGTGACGCTAATCTGAAGGCTAGACCGTCCAATTTCACAGCCGTTTACTTCCGGCCTACCCGACCTCCTGAGGACCCGGCCTACGTTGACCGCGAAGGCCGGGTCCTCAGGAGGATGCAGCCCATGAATTTGGACACGACTGATGTTACTTTTTCAAGAGGACGCTGCTAATAAAGTTACACAATTACACAGTGACTTCGCTTTTATTATTGTATTTACAAAATACCACAGTTTTTGTCTTGGTCGTATCATTTTATTTTGTTGTATTTATCTGCGACACCTTAAAGGCCGGTCCGAGAAAATACTGGCTGACATTAAACCGGTCCGTGGCGCAAAAAAGGTTGGGGACTGCTGCTCTATACAATAACAAAGGCACTCTTTCAAGAGCCTGCAGTGCAGCATCTTCCTCCCTGAGCTTCCTCAATACAGCCTCCTCTGCATGACATACAGATGCATACAGAGTCAAAAACTGGCCGTCATTTGGTTAAAGTAATACATGCAGATGGTGCTGAGTTGTGACTTTTATAAGCATTGTCTATAGATTTTTATGGGACCTATAATTTACTTACTGGCTGACAAATATGGAAACAAATACACATTAAGCGCTGTACATAAATAGAATAACCCAGTTTTAACCTAAGCAGCAGAAACAATCAATGAACATTAATGACAAAAACAACAGGATATATTACAAATACATTAACCGTATTACTGTAGTTCTAAAACCTTTTCCAAACTGTACAATGCACAAAAAGGGCGAACCTGCATTTCTGTCTGCGCAAAACGGCCTCTTCTGTTCTTATCGTGTTCCTGTGTTTTGTTAGTTGAACAGGCCATTAGCAACATCTGCACTGGCATGCGAGTGTGCTGCGGCTGGCTCATTCCATAGTAAGTGAATCAAATCTAAAAGCGCTGCCACCTGACCACATGAGCATCAGCTGTGTTTGGGTTTGTTTGTTTTTTGCGATATAACTGGTGCTGAAATTTTGTGTTTTTATTTATTTATTTATTCTTTATTTTTCCAAGTGTCTTTGACCCCTCATAACTTCAGTTTGGGTTTCCACACTATTTTATATATGTATGTAGATCAATTTCCGAACCATATTATTACACATTCACAGGTGTAAAAATACAGATGTAGCAAAAAACAATTTTGGCATAAAAGGAAAAAGAGCTAGAAGCTGAGCCTGGAATTAAAATTTGGATAAAAATGAATCCTTAAATATGCTAAATCTTGTTTTAGCAGAGTACCTGACCTTCAAAGTTGGCCTAAAATCCCCTTTTTGACCGTTTTTGTTTTGACGGAGGACAACAAAAACCCCCAACTGGTTATAGAAAAAAATCTGCACTGAACAAATCTAAGGTTTTGGCTTTCAGCTATGACACTTGAGTGGGTAAAAAACACATCAATTACATAGTACAAAGTTTCCACCCGCCCTTTCCAACCACCCAAAATGATGGCAGGAAATAATGCGTGAATATTTGAGGTCTTTAGACGCAGGACTTTTAATTCCTCATTTTTCTATGCTTGATTTCCTGCTCTATATGCAATAACAGGCAAATAGTTACAGCATGCTCTACAGGAAGGTACTGAGTGTGTTATCCACAGTGGCTAGATGCAGGTACTCGGGAAGGCTGCTCTCAGACTCGACCTCTGACCCCTGGTCGCTGGTGTCCTCCTTGCTCTGACTTGGTAGCAGCTTCTTCCTTCGCACGGAACCTTGCGAGCGACGCTCCAAACACGTCAAGATCATGTGGGCGAGGTCCTGCTGGAGCCGCTGGACGTTTTCTCTGGAAGAGAAAGCACCATGTTGAAAGAGTGAATCTCAGATGCGGAGGTGCATGTGAAAGGATTTTATCTCTTTTTTGCTCACGTTGTGGGTGGAGTAGGAAGATCGTAGTCTTCACCAGTTTCACCTGTCAACCAGTAAGTTGTTTCTGTGCCTTTACCCTAAAAAAACCCACATATTCATCACAGTCATGTCATCAGTGTCGCAGTGAAGATTTTTGTCACTGTATCTCAATTTAATTTGGCTGACATGCTGCTACATTGACTGAAGACACCAACCTTTACCTTCAGGTATGTTTCCCCTCTCATCTCATACTCAAACTTGCAGTTTGTTCTCTCCAGGATATCTACGGTAGGCTGACTGACATGGATCCGCAGGGCTGTGAGATAAAAAGAAAGACAACAGAGCTTGGCTGTGGTCACTTTATTTAATTAGGCTGACTGCTGGCTTCTATAATTGCGCTAGAGTAATGTACGGGAAGTCATTCATGTAAAATAACGAGAACAAAGGAAGCGGCTGGAGAAAATGTCAGTGTAAATCAGTTTGTTCATTACATGTGTCCACTCACGGTGTCCAGTAGATTCCATACGAGATGCTGTGTTGACCGTGTCTCCGAATAAACAATATCTGGGCATCTTTATTCCCACGACGCCCGCCGCACAGGGACCTGAACCCACAAACAACCAGGAGACAGAAGGATTAGTGTAAAGATCAGCAGGAGGTGAATTGCTTTGCCAAAACGACTAGTTTAAAAAATGAAAAACAAAGAAGAAGAGACCTGAGTGTACACCGATTCGTATCCACACAGGAATACCAGGAAGATGCCGGAGCTGGAAGGTGCCCATGAATGCCAAGATGTCCAGCGCCATGCGGCAAATATCCACTGCATGCCTGTTCCCGTTTCTCCTTGGAAGACCAGAAGCAACCATGTAGGCATCCCCTATTGTCTCCACCTGAGGATCGTAAAGGAAACCATGATGTTCGTGCTCATTGCCAGGTGCCTGAATCTCTTCGGTTTCATCAATGCCAATACCTTGTACACATCGTGGTGGTCGACGATGCTGTCAAACCCCTTGTAGATGTCGTTAAGCATGTCCACAACTTCCATCGGCGTGCTGTACTGGCACAGAGTGGTGAAGCCAACTATGTCACTGAAATATATTGTAACTTCATCGTACAGCTCTGGCTCCACAGCGCCGGTCTCCTTCAGGCTTTTAACCACCGGGCTTTTAACCACAGAGAGAAACAGATAATAAAGAAAATACATTTTTTCCATTGAGATTTCATTCTGATTTTGAGTTGGCTAAACCAAAGCCGCCCAAGTTTCCCCAACAGTTCATCCATCCATTTCATCCATGTATCCTTTATTTTTATATAACTATCCTTTTTAAACAGTTCAATAATGCTACTTGTTACAACCATTTAACTGTTAATTTACACTAACGTTTTGATCATTAATTAACACTAATTATTTTAATTATTTACTCATAATTAAGGTAACATTTC